TATAAATGTATTCGACACCTTAGGAGATGAAATGACCAACATGTTGCTTGCACCCAAAGATACAAGTCACTTTACAACCTACTTAAGAGCTCAAGGCATATTTTGACTTTACATACAAGAATTGGCTTTTGGTAATGTACAGTAAACAAGTAAACACTACTCTGAAAATAATAAACACGGTCTGCAAGTCATCCAATCTTACATTATCATCACGTATAACTCCCGTATAAACTCGATAGGGTCCTGAAACTGTTAGCATATGGTATTGGACTAGATACCTCTTAAATTATCAAACATCAAGAATCACGAATACGAACCCTTATCTTTACTCGAGGGTTCCAACTTTTTCCATTTGATCCAATCTTGGTGGATCCACTTTCATTAGGTCTTTTGTGTTTTGCACATTATTTGCAACCTCAGGTGGAGGACAAACCGCCTGAACGGGTTTCGGCGTTATGGTGTCCGTTTGATCGGTTGTTTGGTGAGTATGATCGATGGTATCGACAGCTCGCTCAGTAGTTTGAGATTGGGCTTCGGAATTTGTTTTATTGGGTAAAGGAGTGTCAATGTCCATATTATCCTTTTCCAGTGGGGATGGGTCGAGCGTTGGGTCTGCAGTCTCGTATTCGGATAAAAGGTCCATGAACTCGTTGAGCAGCCGTTGGACCTTTCTGTTTGAGGCCATGGCTGGAAGAATATCTTCCCTAAGGAGCTTATGCTTATTCATACTCTGCAAGAGTCGTAAAACCGTCTTAAAAAGTTATTACTTAAATCAAGGAGCACAGACTAATGAGACGAGGTTTCATTTTTATTTTCTTTTTTTTATTCAATGACCATACATGAAATTTTAGATGATGATATTTGAATACTTCGTGACAGTTATATTCAAAAAATAATAAAAATAGAAGAAAACGAAAGAGGGGGAAAATGAGAACGATGTAAGAAAATGTACAATCAGCCTGTCACATCTTCCATAAAGCAGATTATCCTACAATAAAATTTGCATTTAAACATAAAAGGAAAAAAAAGCCTTACAAGTACAAAAGGGTCCCATGCAGGTATCTTTGGATCTGATCCAGGTTCGACCATTCCAATGGGAGGTCCAAGGAAGCTTTCACAAACTTCGCGTAAACGAGACTCGTCTGCCTCCCTATATTATTGAAACACGTTAAGAAGTCTCGCCAATAACAACTAGTTTTAACCCATCAAAATCAAGACTTAGAATAGAAACTCTATCAAGCAAATGAGAACTTTAATTACGAAACATCTGCGGGGTTAACCTTAATTATGAAACATTCGGTGCTAGCTTGTTAAAGCTCCAACTATATATATTACATACTTTCAAGGGGTCAAAAACATAAAAGAAACTAAATAATCTACAGAAACATCTATAACATATTTTGCAGTACAACTTCACAAATCCCACATGTACAAGTGCTTCTTATCATGGAGAACAATAATATGCTTTGGACTACACATGAATATGCTTTGGACTACACATGAAGTATTAGCAAGAGAGCCTTAAAAACCTGGCTAAAAACCGAATGTAGGATAGAAGACACTGTCGGTATTCGATTGGGGAATTCAAAGCGAGTGCAGATGCCAGCTGAGCCTCCAAATGAGCACGAGTCTGCACGCCGTCATCAGTCACTCTTGACACACACATGTACACAAAATAAAAAGATGAAAAAAAAAAAGAAAAGAAAAAAAGAAAGGTCAACCTCATTTGCAAATTATAATAGGATATTCGAGTAATCAAGTAGTCACTTGCAAAGAAACAAAAATAGGTTATCATGACCAAACTTGCTTATATTGTTGAAACCATGGCCTAAAGGTGGATATTACATACTCCTGAGTGATTAAAAAAAATTCTCCCCATATATTGCCTAACTAGGTGCAAACAAGCAGTAACGATAATAATAATTTATAATCTTCTATTTGTTGACATTTTTGTCATTCATAAGTTTTACGCCTCTGAGGAATGTATTTACCATATAAATACAAGTCTCATTGGGTATTTGTATATTTGAATGATTAATACTAATATTATCATTATTATGCATGAGACTAAAGAAAACATTGAATTCAGAATGCACACAGACCTGCTCCATCCAGGTTTACGTGCCAGGAACTTTCTGACATCAACCTGCAGAGAGGCTAGCTCACCACCATGAGTCGAACCCAAAGTCCAAGAGCTCGCAAAATTCGACGCTGGAAAACAATCATCTACCACTCTTAGCCAACACATAAGACTCATGTCAAAGAGATACGCATGCCTCGTGGCCAAAACAACAAGTGGAGATCCAGATTTTGATAATTTTGCAGATATGACTTTAATTGTACCTGACGAAAAAAGACAAGAAAGAAAGCTATTAAATTACAAAAATCATTTAGGTTTGATAGTCGAATCAGAAAGCTACAGTATTGATGTTATCCAATAAACTAATTTATTCAGCTCACCAGTATCCTTAGAGTTGGACTTTGGATCTGCAGTTATTAACGAATCCAAGGAATCATGAAGAAGGCACGTCCTATTAAAAAGATCCCAGATGTATACAGACCCCTTTTTTGTGACAAGCAACAACTTCCACGACTCGTCACAATCGATAAAAACAGCAGAGGAGCCCATCATCATGGTAGGCATGGCACGTCTCCCGCATTTCGTGTAAACCTTCTCAAGAGTAAATATTTGAAATCAATAGTTTAAAAAAAAAAAAAATCTATGTTTATACAGTTTGTGGCTTCTGGGGGATGCGACAAACTAAAGTTGCCTCCATGACTACAAGACACTACACACTATACTATCACACTGTACTCGTGACGAAAGAAAAAAATAGAAATGTCAAAAACTGTATCCGAGGATTTCTCATATGATTACCATTCCAAGACTATGCGACTCACATAAATTATTATCATTGTTTCTGTTTAATTCATATAATGAAAATTGACAATAACAGTAAACAGAGAGGTGAATGTAAGAACAGAGAAGTCATAGAGACCTGGAGGGACCCATCCTCACAACCGACGGCCCAAAAGTTTGAATTACCAGACAAGACAGTGACCTTCCCAGATAACCTATCAGCCCAAACACTCTGAGACCCTCTTGTGCAAGAAAGTTCTGTTTCTTTAATCACAAAAGTACTTCCTGCTCCCACAATATCATTAACCGCATGCTCTCTCGGCCGAGCTTCCAAGCACACAGGGACAACATCCTTCCCTTGTTTCTTATCAAACACTCTAATCAAGAGAACACTTCCAGAAACTTGGTACCCAACCTGCTCAACATTATTACTGTTTTCCTTACTCCCACTAGCTGGAACCCTCTCGATCACCAAGCTTTCGCTAATAGAGGCTTTAGCCGTAGAACTTACCGTTTTCCTTATGGATGGTTCTCTAAAACCATCGTCATGTCTCGTCCCATTTACTTGATCTAATGACTTCCCACTAAATTCGAGATTTTCAGGTTGAGCCCCAATGGAGCTTTGAATCTCCTGATTATGGGCGGTGGCCCCAACCGCTTCCGGTATTATCCTCTTCCGGCCATCAGGCCGCCTGTACTCCTTCTGCTTTACCGGGCTCGCCATCCGGGACGGGACCACTTTACTTGGCCTATCCTTGATGATAGCATCCTCAGTTTTTTTCTTTCCGTCACTGACAGTGGTCTTGCTCGCTTTTGCAGTGATGGCTAAATCAACCGCAGGTTTTGGAGAGGTCTGCCTCTTGGGGATGGGTACATTCGTCTTTTTACTCGGATTTTGCTTTGTGGATGCTGCTTCCAGTATCAGCTGTGCCGGGGTCTCAGCTAAACTCCCCTGGCGGGCCCTGACGTCTCCGTAACGGTTTCTTTTCAGGCCTTGTAATTCGGATTCGGTTAGTTTATGTCCGATTTCGTTCGCATCAAAATGAAAAGTGGCCACCGTCCCGTCCAAGGAACAAGCGAAAAGTGAAAAACCGTCAGGGCTCCTGCACGCATAGGGAAATAATATTTAATAAATTAGGGCTGGTAGTGTCAAATGTTACTAACAAGAAAAGAAAAAAAGAAATAAATAGTTGGGTTGCAACTTGTAACAACCATAAAAGTCCAGGTAAGAGAAAGTATTCTGTTGCAACTTGTATCAACTACAAAAGTTCAGGTTGGAAACAAATATTTTGTTGCCAATCTGGAAAATGCAAATTCAAGAATGAGCTCAAGAACATCATTGCTACGAAAAAAAAAGTCAAGATATTGCTACGGAAATTACCAAGTTAAATCCACCACACTCTGAGAAAAGAAATGTTTAGCCACAAATAGTGGACGGGGGCTGGCGGTGGTCCACACAGTTATTGTGCGGTCCTGGCTTCCAATCGCGATTACATTGTACGGCTGGGAATCTTTCCCTTCGGGCTTAGCAGAGCCATTAGACCAACCGGCAGACGCATTTTTCAGATCATGCAAATTCGAGGCATTCCTTCTAAACATTGAGTGATTGAATCTGGCAACAATAATGGGAGCATTGTGTCCCAAGAAGTCGAAAGTAGCGGACCATTCCCCTCTCTCGAGAACGGGAGCTGAATGCCTGGGCTTTTGGAAACCATGAGTTGTGGTAATAAAATGGCCGCACGGAGACCAGTCAAGCCGTCTGAAAAAAGTGGAGCCAAGCTGGACACAGAACACATCAGGTATGGGGGAAAATATGGAAAAATAAAATAATGTCACCGGCTTACAAAGATAGAGATATTTGCTTTATTTCTTTTCAGGCAACGAAATTAGGAACATCTGAAAACTAATAACAAACCTCGAGGAACATCTGGAATACTTTAAGGCAGAATTTTGCATTTTAAAAGGTACAAACTAATAGAAGCTTATTTTCAATTAGGTTTTGGTTTTGGGTACTTACAGATTTGGCCCAGTGGCCATCAGTTCTATGAGCAAGGCTCCAATCACTCGTCCGCCAAATTATGACAGTCTTGTCATCCGATTGGCTTGCTATGAACGAGCCAATAGGATCCCAGGCCACACCTTTGACCAGACTAGAATGGCCTCGCAGAACGGTGGTGCATACTCCATTATTCATGTCCCAAATATGGACAGTGTTATCAAGGCTCCCACTGGCCAATGTTGAATCATCTGGGGACCAATTGAGATCCACCTACTTTAAGCATAGAAACAACCACGACAACTTGATTAGAGAACACAATTCCAGAATCAAAAGGACACACTTATAAGAGTGCCAATTTCTACAGGTTCAAACATAATGAACCAAAAGGCATGAAAAAACATAAATATATTCATATGAGGTGCAGCTACACAACTATACCAGATATTTAAGCCACTTTAAAAAAATAATAACAATAATAATCGAATATACTACCCCTTAAGTGAACTTTCTGTACTCAAGCTAAAACTTCAAGTTACTTTTCGTAATAAACCTTTTGAGTCATACTTATTCATAGATTCTAGACAAACACATGCCTATCGATCAGAAATTAAAGAGCATATTCACGAATCAACGAATATAATATAATCATATAAAAAGTGTCGATTCCAATAAGTTCCAAGATATCAACACAAAATTGGAGGAAAGTTATACATATTATATCATGTGCGGAAAATCTACTAATTACAGCTAAAACTTAGCCAATTAGCGTAATTATGAAACTACCCACTTAAAATGTAATACCCAAGTAAAATAAATGTTAAGGAGGTATAGCATTATTACCACATCGGCAGTGTGTCCTCTCAAAGTCATGGAAACTTTCCAATTCTCAACATCGGGTGGCTCTCCACTGCCGAATTCTGTTGTCCCCGAACCGGGCTTCCTTTCATGGATGAGAATAGCTTGATCGTCAGATCCAGATGCAAGATAACGGCCATTCTTGGCCCACCTAACACAATTAACGGAGCCGAAATGGTCACGGAGAGTTGCAAGGAGTTTGGATGACGAGTCCTCGATTTGAAGTTCCCGGCCAACAGATTTCATGTTCCAAATGCGAACCTGAACAGATAACAGACAACTTTTTCTGCTCAATTCAACAAAATAAATAACATGTACCAACATTAACACAGACAAGACATAAAACACTAATCAACAGAAACGTAACTTCTCGTCGAATGGTTATATGTTGGAAAACAATATTAAGCCAATATGGGCAGTCTCAAACCAAACCAAGCAAATGAAATACTATATATTATTTCTTGCCTTCATTTGCAACTCCCCAAGATTTGTAAATGATACTCAATGCTCATAAATCACAGAAGCGCATTGCCCGGTTTTCGAAATTTATAGTCTAATGGACTGGTGCTCTACTGCTTATCACAATGGCCACAAAGATACAAGCCAAAAACTATTTGATAATGCTGTACTTATACGTCATCCGTTCACAAAATTCATTACCCAGAAAGAATATAACAATTGAAACTAAGCGTTCGAAAGGAATGATCAATAACAACAGATTAAAACCAAGAAGAAAAAACAGAGCATACCTTATGATCACCGCCGCCAGTAGCAAACCTGAGGCCACCAGGCTGAACATCAATTGAGAAAATCTGTGTGCCGCAATGCCTAACCCAACTAGGTTTCTCTGCAATCATCTCTCTCACCGCTTAAAGAAAATCAAGAAAGCCCAAGTGATTCTCGAAAAAAACCAAGAACGAGAAGAAGTAAATCTACTTTCACTTGCTCGTCACTTCAAACACAGAAGACCCATATCCCCAATTCTCTCCAAGTTCACGCTTTTAAAACCCCCCTTAAGACATTAACACAACAACGTAAGGCACACAAGCGAGAACCAACAAAAAGCCCAGAAAACTTGAACAAACAAGAAATTCTACGGTAACAAAGGTGGAAGTTTTCCGGCCAAACTGAGTAAGGAAAAGATTTTTACATCATAATTTTGAATAATAATACTACTAAAATATAATAACTTGTGTCGAAATTTTGTTGAACAGCGAAAGAATAAACCCTAGCTACCAAGAGAGTGTCATAAAATGGGTTATTTTTGGCAAAAAAGCAATCAGTTGGAATTTTTTTAATTAAGTTATGATGAATTGGGAGTAATTGATCTCTTGGGTATTTTCATAACGGTCCAATCTAATGAAGATTGAGAATAAAATGAAACACGTGAAGTGAAATAAAAAGGCCCATATATAAAGACATGGAATTAAATTAGAGAAATTTTCGACCATCCTACAATATTTATATTTATTTACGATTTTGAAGCTACTATAAATTTAATTGCAAATGTATCAAAACCTATTGAATTAATTGGCGATTTACTTACCATATAAAAAAAGTTGACTCATAAGAGAAATAAATGAAAATAAATAACTTACTCATTTAATTCCTTAATTCGCGCAACTAGAATTCATTAATTCACGCAACTGTCAGGTGGTATATATTGCGTTTATGTTAGTATATATTCAATATATGTGCGCAACTTGAATTCCTTAATTCACGCAGTTGTCATGTGGTATATATTGCGTTTATGTTAGTATACATTTAGTATATGTTGTAATGAAAAAAAAAATGTATTCCATCGAAAAATTATATCTTCCTCTTTTTTTTTTTTATACATAAAAGTATATATATAGTTTAAAAACCTATTATAACATGTTACTTAATAAAAACCATACATATACACCACACGAACAAAAAAATTCAGTTTATGCTAAATATAAATAGATTTTATACATAAAAATGATGTCTTGCGATAAATTTCTTTATCATATACTGAATATAGACCATACATATACAAAAAAAAAAATAGTTTATATTTTGTCAATATAAACCATACATACACATAAAGTAGCCATTATTCCCCCTACATATTAATACAGAACGCGCTGAGCCTACGTGGCTGCTTCTGGTGCTTCAGAATCCTATGTGGCAAAATTACATGTTTCGTTATTAGGCTTGGGTAAATTTTAATTTAATTCCAAACCAAAAATAATTAGGTTCGGATTACCATAAATATGTTGATTATTTATGGTCATGTTACATGTATTAATTGTATTTTAATATCATTCCTTATTATAACTATTGAATTGTATATATATTTTAAAAGTTAATAACTTTTGTGTTTTTTATCAGTTTTACATATGTAATATATCAAATTAATCTTCTTTTGATGAGCATCGATTTAATATCCATATTGTATGTATAAAAAAAATAATTTATGTTTATCTTTATAACAATAATAAAATTATTTTTAATATTAATTAGAAAAATAAAATTATTTATCAACTAATATATTTATATTTCAAGTAGTTATATGGTCATAAGTAACACATATCATTCTAAAAATATAGTAATATATTTTTTTTGTAAAAAAGTAAACTAAATTTAATATAGTTTTCTCATTAATTTTAAAATTTAAGAATATTTTTTTAACAAGCACCCGTGTAATACACGGGTGTTGTACTAGTATTATACAAAACATATACTCTACATATACACAACATATACCCGCAACTTATACAAAATGAAAACTATTATATCTATGAATCAAGCCCATCAAATTTTTCATAAGTCAAACGGTAGCAAGCTAGCTCCCTCCCATCGGTCGTAGTCATAGATCGTCGGTTAATCAGTAAAAAGAAAAAGAAATTTTGTATACGTGTTTCTGAGACATGCTCCTAGAGGGTGAACCCGGAATAGTCCATTGTACCCTTCAGGATATACTGGTGAAGTAAAACTCCCACAGGTGCAAGCAGATCTGGGGTAGCTTCATATGTGGTACATTGTGATATCTGCCAAAGAGCATCTATGCCAGTTCAGGGCCTTCCCATCCATCTCAATAGCTTTCTAAAATCGAGTGATTTGAATCCCAATCTCAGATGAGAACATGGATGATGCTAGAAAGTGCTTCTGTCTAAAATATAATAATAATAATTGATTATTAAAGTTCCTCTTCCAGTATGCTTTGTAGATCAGGCTTCCACCTCCCTCGACCAATTCTACCTCTCACTTGACTGTCGCCGCCCACGCGGCTTCCTTTCTCCGCAACAAATTTAGCCGCTGCTCCACAGATCCTCCCTCCGCACCACGATCTTCACCTGCCCACCTTCCACCGCCGACATCTCGCCGCCGGTGAGCCGCCCGATCGCCTCCTGGATACTATTTCTTGTTGTCGGTTCTTGGCCTCTTCTGGTCGATCTCGAGAATCCAAAACCTCTCCTCACCGATGCCGCTTCTTGACCTTCTTGGATTCGTCTTCGGCAGTGTGATTTTGTGTGTGTGTGTGTGTGTGTGTGTGTAACACCCCGACTTTTTACTGAAATCAGAGTACGCGTTTTTCGCAATTTTTTTGAATAAATAAATAAAATACTAACTTTCGCGAAAACTGATTCGGGATGCTACCGTGAAAATCTGACTAAAAAACCGTTAATTTTAAACTTATAATGAAAATGGTTATAATATTTTAACCGACTAACATCGGATCAAAAGTTGTTTAAAAGTACTGAAAGATATAGCGGAATAACAGCGTGGTTTAAACATATATATACATATCCATAAATATCCTGATCAGCCCGCCAGCTCACTCCTCGTCCCCGACCCTGCGACCTGAAAAACATGAAATACGTGGGGGCGTGAGCACTAAAACACTGTGCTCCGCAGAAACTCATACTAATGTAAACATTGAAAATAATAACAATATCATGATCATGGCATATATAACTGAACTGAAACTGAAACTGAAACTGATATCTGATACCAGTCTGATCTCGCGACATAAGTCACGTAACTGATAACTGAACATCTGTCGGCACAAACTAATACCGGAATCTGCCGGCACAAACTAATACCGGACACCATGTGCACACTCTAGTGGAAGATTAGGCCACTAGAACCCAGAATGCACCGGCGACCATTCCGAGCGGATACTGAATATACATACCTCAAACATGGTAGCGAT